TTTCTAGTTTTATCTCAAGTAATGATGAGATTATACAGAATATGACATAAATAATACTACATGTTATGCCGACTGTTAGGCCTAACTTCCATTTTGTGGCCTGAAATGTGGCCAACAGTGCAAATATCGTCACTAACAGCGAGAATGTTGTCAATGGGAGGGCCGTCGAGTCGATGGGCACAGCCGTGGCCTCCAAACTAAAGGTCCCCTTTTGGAACATCCATATAACGGACTTTAAAAACCAGGGAACGCCCAAACAAAACAATATGTCAAATATGTTGGACCCGATTGAGTTGCAAATAGCCATATCGGCCTGACTCGCCTTCTTCACCACCAATACACTAGATATGAGTTCGGGAACCGATGTGCCCGCGGCTAACAGTGTCAGCCCACTCACCGTGTCTGGTAGACCAAACGTGTAACCTGTAAACGGGGTTTTGAATGATCACCTTGATGCACTAATCAATTGTAGGAATTTATATATCTTACCGATGATGGTAACCATCCAAACGCACACATATGTTAAACTACCGATCCATATGATGGATATGAGGAATGTGATAATAAAACAGAGTTTAGTTGGTTTGGGAAGCGTTATCTTAAATAACAAAGTCATGGGAAAGAGAAGCCATTTGAAGAAGCAGCTGCTCTCGATCCAGTCCTCCTCTTCCTCGAGCTCTGTCTCCGACAATAGGATTCTCTTCTGACTGGCGCTCCGACTCCGGGCTCTATAGTCGCCACTTGTGCTCAATATATGGCTGTTCTGGTCCTCCATTTCCCGCGCGCTTTCCATTATGTCTTCATCGGTGGCCAGACTTGAGTTTCCGTTCCACTCTTTGTGTGCCTTTTCTAAAGTGCTTCCCTCCAGAAGTGGTGTCTTCTCGTCCATATCACCGGTGTTTGTAAGCCGATGACTATATTGTGCGTTGAAATACATGATCACGAGATATATGCCAAACATTGATATTAGAATCAACGACTCGACCCTTCATTTTGGAAATTAACATATAATAAACCAATTATTTCTTAAATTAATAAATATTTGATAAATAATTAATTAGTATAAAAAGTTGCAAAAATAGGTAAAATTCATTTTGCGTTCGTATGCACTGATAAGTCTAATGTGTGATTGAAAACCATTTACCGGTAATCATATCTATAAATAATTAAATGCATAACTTATCACTTTAAGTCTTATACATAAATTCACAATAAGTGTTATACTTTAATTAGGCTCACGTGTAATTTGGTGTAAAGGCCTATAGATCTGTCTAAACTAGTTATTATTTAATTATTAATTAATACTAACCAATCGACTCTATTATCTTTGATGCATAAGATTAAGGTAACGATTGTCAGTATATAGAAGATAGAGTCGCGAAGAATAGGGAAACGACTGATCTCTGGTGTTTTAGGACAGTATAAGATGACTGCGAAACCACAGGCGGCCGGTATTACAATCAGATTGAAGACAGCTGTTCCCAGAATAGTGCCGATTCCGATGTCGTCCTGAGACACAAATACACCGATAATACTCGTGAAGAGTTCGGGCGCTGACGTCCCGATCGCCATAAACGTGGCGCCAGCGATGTCTGGCGATAGTGACAGCTCTGTCGACCAGGTTTTAGTGTTAGTTCATATTTTTGATAACATTTATAATGAGTAGTTTTTCATAATTATTTTAATGATTATGTGTATTAGTGTATTGGTTAGTGTAATGATGTGTCTCTTGTAATTTATTTTTAAATAAAACTTTATATTATTTATAATTATTATTTTTCAAAAAACTCATTTTTGTAGTAAAAGTCTTAACAATGTTTTAGGAGTGCCTCTCAAGTCATATGAAATACTTGGTGATAATATCTATACTGAAAACACCTACAGTCACCTGTTATTTACTAAATTATTCCACTAATTATCTACAATGTAGTTTTTCCTAATAATACTGCCAAGAGTTTAAATGAGTGATTGAATAAATAATTAGTTTTACAAATATTGTTATATAAAATATATTATTGTTATTTGCAATATTTTTCTATTACAAAAACAACAAAATATTTTGATTGCATTCAAGAATTTGCTTACTTTTGCTGATAATGTCGAGTGCGGGCAGAAAGTATAGATCGCAAACAACTCCCAGACCCAGACAACAATAGGCCAGAATAAATACATGAAACAATACGCCGCCGTTGTTTCGTAGCTATTTTATTATGTGAACAAGATTTTAAATTTAGATAATTTTAAAATTAATTAATGACATATTAATACACAAAACTCGTACCCATTCTGGCATAATATCTGCGGGAAAATTATTCAGCGCATGGGATATGTCATCGACAGGAGTGGTATTATTGGTATCATAGGATTCATTGTCAAACAAAGTGTCCGCCGACGGGACTATAGTTGAAAAGTTGTTAACTTTGATAAGGCCTTCGCTGTTTACACCAACAGTGGTTTTGCTATAATTTGCTTCTTTAATTTGCAAAGTACTGGTGTTGTCGTTGAGCTGTTGGACCACTTGGACGGGTAGAGTGGTATAGATATCGGTCACATTCCTCTTCGGGTCATTTACCGGAGGACCCGATGTCTGGACGTTTACTATGGGTTTTGTATCGTTGACTAGTTGTACGGCAGCGTAGGTTACGCTTAATTTTGCAGCAATTATCAAAATTAAGTGTTTAAAGATTTCAACCATTTTTGAAAAAGTTTGACACTTTTAATATTAATATAGAAATTACACTAAATTTGACAAAATATATCAACACATAATAATAATCACACTTTTCTATAAGAATCGATGTCTAAGATTGGATTAAAGAGTGGTTTTGTCTGTAAGAAAAAAATTAATGCATTGATTTGTGAATTGCTTTTTCATTCAAATAATATTAAATCGGCTATCATTTCGTCAGAGATATCTGTTTTATTGATTAGATATAAAATTAAATACTGTCTGCAAATACGAATCGACAATAATTGTTATTTTTTCAAGTGTTTTCACAAACTTCAAAGTACATGGTTGGCCATCCCATACAGACCTCTCATGATTTACTATTTACTAATCACTTGTATTTAATATACAGGTAATTGGTTTTATTTGTTTTACCCTTCCATCAAATGATCAATTTTTGTTATTGATATTTGAATTTAAGTGCCATTTAATAGACATTTAATTTTCTATTATTTTGTGTACAATTAAATCAATAAAATTTGGTAATCCATAAGAATATTGTTTTATAAATACACTTTTAGTTTTAATTAACACAATGATGTAATTGATATCAAATTAAGCAATTAAAGTAATTTAATTATATGTTTAATTTTATTATAACTACAACATGACATGACACAATTGTTTCAATTTCAATATATATTAATTAACCTTATTGAATTATTCTGTGGGAGAAATTGATATGAATAGTAAATGTAATTGTGATTAACAATTGATAACATTTTGGTAAGAAATGAGTGCATAATAAGAGTTATGTATTACAAAACAATTCAAAAATTGTATCGATTGACGTAAACTACAATTAATTAAAATTAATTATGCAATTATCAGACGTCAGAATAACATTGGTTTCACTCACATATTAATTACATTAGTTAAGTCACTTAACATAAGTGTATGTAAGTTTTGGCTCACATTTCTTATAGTTTGTGAAATATGTTGACTTATTTAACATAAATTGATTGTATTTTTCTTGAAATTCTAACCACGAGTTATTTATATTGAAAACATTTCCATAGATTTAATAAAATTATTTTTTACTGATTGCATACAAAATAGATTCATTGAGAAAATAAAGTGTAATTTCCAATTAATATAAAAAAGTTGATTATTAATAAATTATCAGTTTATATGAATAACTAAATAACTGTAAAGACCAAAAACTACTTAAACACTATTTGTATTGAAATTAAAATATATTCATTATAATAATCATTAAATTTAATGATAAAGTTATCAATAAATAACTAAACCGTTAAATATTTTTGGCTAAATTGTTACTTTATTTTACTATTCATTCAGATTATTCTAAAATCCATGTGTCGTATACTCCAGGTATATGGTAAAAGAACCAAGGACATCTGATATTTATATTATGCATACTTATAATTTGTAAAATACGAAAAAAAATCTAGATGGTCATAAATCTGTTTTACAAAAATATTTAAACAAATTTATCACAAAAAATATGTGAACACCCTTTTGTACCCATAATGATATTTCAATAAATAATCATGAATGTAAATGTTGGTTTTATGATTAATTAATTTTTATAATTAATTTTTAACATATTGTCTGCTAAACTATGTTAAGCTAGGCACAATTATTAGTATCACTATTCAGAAATAATATCACCATGGTATTGTTATTACGTAAATGTGGTAAATTTTTGATTACTAGAATTTGCGCTAGTTTGTATTCTGGCAAAGAATATTTAGCATATGTAAAGTATTAAATCATTCTGCAACATCTTACTAATTAACTAATTTTGCATATGTTCTAGCTCATAATATTATAATTTCGTAATCGTATTTAATTATAATAACGGTGAAATTATGTCAGAATAAAAAGGTTGTAAATATTGTACAGTATATCAAATAAATAACTTTACTTTTAAAGAGTACTGTATATTTTGGTTTCTGTGTTTGTTATATGCGAAGTACAGTCTCTGCAAAACGATTGTAGACTCATTCAGGTATATATGAATGACGAATGTCAACAGTATATATACAACACATACAATAAACATGTGTTTACTGTTATTGAGTGATTGAAAGCGAGTATTAAATGAATGGTTAATTGAATAGTGAAGACAATCGCAATCATTGGTCCCAAACGATGGCAACAATACGTCTATTGTGTCGCCAACTGATCCGCAAACCCATTGCCACCCAATCGTCGGCCACAGTCTGGACGGCGGCCACACGTGTTGGCCGTCAAAGTCGGCCGCAACTCATGGCTGCGATCGGCGCCGGAGGACGAGCTGGTCGTCAGCCGACAGTGGGTTCGGGTGGAGGTTGTGGTGCCGGTGACGGGTCGGCGCGGCTCTGGTATCGGCCAATGAGTTATGTAAGTAATGCCAAACGTTTGTCCGGACGATACCGACAATCGGTACGTCTGGTGGCCATCGGTGTAGCCATGGGTTCGGTAATATTGGCCCAGCTCTGGCGGATGGCTATGAAGCCATCATTTTACTCTAGGTCCGCAAGTGACAGAAGTCGGCGCGTCCATAATCGCCGGCTTCTTCACGGTGTTTACCGGCGAAGGTCTCGACACTCATAAACTCAGACAATTGTTTTGTCAGACATTTCTAAGCCATTCATTCATTCATTTCATTTCAATCTGTGTTTTGTATAAAACATTTCTGGCATTACTTTTAAATTCATTTAATTATTGTTTTTATTTCATTTGTATCTTTAATTATGACTACAATTATTGTCTCACGCATTGAAATGGACCGCAAAATTGAACCCTCATTTGCGCTGAAACCGCACCACCGCTTACGGGAACCGTTGACCGTACAGTTGACAGATATACCCGGCTTGTCCTCCCCCTCCACACCACAGCTTACCTTTTATTACACATTTAATTGAGATTTATTTTTTACATTAATTGTTTGCATCACTTTGAATGTGATAGTGAATTGTCACTTGATTTGCATATCATTTACCAAATCACATGTATGTTCTGTCCGGCACCCGTCCCTCCCGTTTAATACCATATATTGTTATCAATAAGTATTATCATATCTAATGCCCCCTCCATTGCCCATCCCTTTCCAACATTTCTTCCAAACACTATTTGATTTATTAATTGTTTTAAAACATGTGGTTTTTAAATACATTTTGTGATTAATTAATATTTTGCTCGAAAATGACTTATTTAATCACTTTTTGACACAAAGCTATTAATATTGCATTTAATGCCATAAAAATTGTTTAATTGCTTGCAATTGTTGTTTGTAATAATTAGCGGCTATTTTTGTGGTCATTTATTAGATAATTGTGTTATTGTAGTCGACCTTAATTTTACGGTTCCATCGCTTGTCGTGAATGTTATACAATATATTCATTAAATACTAACCATAATTGTTAATCTCTTTTTACCACTAACTCAATGGGGACTAAAACTTAATGCACTTCTTTTAATTGTTTGCATTTTTGATCTCATTTTCAATGTATGTATTGCTGTTATAAATCAATTATTTTGAATGTCATTAACTAATTATTTGTTTAATTAATTTTTATGTTCATTTTCCATACAATTTAAAGTATATTTTAAGCAAAATTTAATTTATAAACTATTTATATATATAATCTGAGAATTGATTTGGAGACTAATCTATTTGACACTTGATTTGTATTATGACAGGTGTCGGGCCCTACAGACCTGGGAATGACATTCACTCTATACCAGTACCAGTCGTGTCCATTCTGTTGCAAAGT